CCTTGGTTAATATACCAAACCCTTACCTCTTATGGGGTCCCTGAGGGGTATACCGTTTCTATTCCCCATTTTATTCAGGCTCACCATGGCCAATAATGAGGATCCTTTACCCTTAATAGGGCATTAAGGCTTGCCCCTTCATCAACTAGCCTATCTAAATTTGATTTTGATGGTTTTCAGACCCCTGCCCCTCCTTTGAACACAGCTCCAACAGCTGATACTAATACCCTCTCCTCAGCGCATACTGACAACTCTATCCATTCCAAGACAACCGCTCAGGTTATTACTCAACTTCCAGAATGCACCCTTCCCTCTTTCCCAACATTCTCTCCTCCTATTGCACAGTCCTCTTTAATGTCTACTCCCTCTTCCCTTATTCTTAATTTTATCCGTATTGTCTTCCTCCCCACAGAACTGCCCCACGCCACACCACCCCATCGTATTCTCGCCCTCGTCCTTCTACTGCCTCTACCTCGGCAAACCTTTTGAGTACTCTCTTTTTCCCAGCCAAGTGGGATTGATTATTTGTGATTCCCCCGACAGCCTGCTATTCTGAGAATACCCTTCTCTTTCAACAGTGCCTCCCTAAATAAGTTGGCAAGGTTGCCTTTCGCAGTTGCTCTGATCATTCACGCCTAGTCACAGTTACATCTGAATCCTAAGCTTGTGTACTATCTACCCTAACTGACACCACTGGCAAACCCATTCCTGCCGAACCTCAACCCTCTCTTAATACTTGTACTGAAACTGTTTCCATCCCCCCAAAAGCTTGCCTTATCTCCAACAAGGCGTGGTCAGACTAAAAGTGACCTACTTACTTGCCTTACTGATCCCTCCCAAAACCTAGCTCGTTGTCGTCATGGGAGGGCTTAGGAGATAGGGACTGAGACCCAATGTAGAGGATTACTCCTACCTTGGGCCTCAGCCCTTACCTCAACTAATTTTGCTTGGTCTTTTCTTCTCTTCTTTCATGTTCAGTTTCTTCTTTATTCCCTTCTTCTATCCCATTCTTAAGGTGTGAGAGCCTTGCTGAAAGGATGAAAGGCAGGCTTTGTGTCAGTCACGAATGGCCTCCGGGAGCCATGGGCACGGTATTCCCTTGGTTAATTACCTAGCCCTTATCCCTTATGGGGACTCTGAGAGGTAGACCGTTTCTTTTCCCCATTTTATTCAGGCTCACCATGCCCAGTAATGAAGATTCTTTACACTTAATAGAGGCATTAAAGCTTGCCCCTTCATCAAATAGCATATCTGAATTTGATTTTGATTGTTTTCTGATCCGTGCCCATCTTTTGACCATGGCTTCAACTGCTGATACTAATACCCCCTCTTCGACACTAACAAACAACTCTAACCATTCTGAAACATTCACCCAGGTTATTACCCAACCCCTAGAAAGCACCTCTTCCTCATCCCCAACAGTTCTCCTCTTCATCTCCTGCTATACAACCCTCTTCAACCCCCTTTTCCCTTATTACTACTCTTCATCGTTATTGTGCTGGATGGACTGGTCAGACTGTGAAAATGACCTACTTTCCTGCCTTTGTGAATATGATGCAGTGGCAGTACAATGTTACACTCATCCTCCCAGAGGCCAACGTAAATTCCACATCAATATTGCCAAGCTCAGCTTCCATAGACAAGCCCTCCTGCATGAGGTTTATATTGGTGGATTGTCTTATCATGTCTGACAATACAGACCCTTTTCTCGTCAATGTCAGAAATGTTGGCGTTTTGGCCACCCAGTCAAACATTGTCGCTCCACTGCCCGCTGCCCTCTATGTGCCCAACCTGGTCATGACCGTTCAAATTGCCCTGCTCAGTCACGTACATGTGCCAATTGTGGAGACTCCCATAATCTGTTTTACAGGAGCTTCCCTGCCTATAAGTTTGAATGTGAGTCCTCAGATTTAAACTAGGCCTCACTCTACATGAGGCCAGACAGGGAGCATGATAATGAGGTTTTAGTCTCTCAGTTTATTCCAAAACAGTCCTACACTCTGCTCCCCCACCATCAACACAAGTTGTTTCTGCATCTCCCCAGATATCTTTCCCCTATACTCAAAACCTACGCCTTTTGTCTACTCACCCTATGCACTAGTCAAATACATTTTCCTTTCTAAATCCAGATACTCCAATCTCTACCACTTCCCTGATACCTACCCCTCCTCCTCACTTTAGTTATCATACCAGGCAACCTAAACGTTCCATTCCACACACTCCTACTACATTCTCTCCGACACCTTCCTCTTCATCAGTTCCTCAGATATCTATCTCCTCTTCTCCTCCTTATAAGAGAACCTTTGTTTCTCAGTCCTCTATACCCAATTCCCCTCCAGAAACCCTTGAAGACATCCAAACCTTCCTAAAGAAGACCCAAGGGAACACAATGTTCCCTTATCCACCCCCCAATCCCTCTGTTCCTACTCCTGCTTACATTTAAACTATTTGCAGATATTCCTCCTCCTCCTCCCCAAGTTCCCTCCACCCCCTTCCTCCTACACCCTCCCAACATACCCCACCCTCTCTACTGCTCCCACTTGAATTCTCACACGAATCCTCTCTATCACAACAGTGTCCTTCTCCAAACCCCTTCTCTCCAGACATTTTTCCTGATGCTTCACCATCTTCCCCAGTCTCCCTTTCTCAACCCCTGGATTCTTCTCCTCTTCCAACAGCTACCTGTTTCCCTCCAACTCCCTCCTGGATACACACGTAAATCTCTTTTATCACAATACCCTTCCCCAGACCCCAACCGTCCCTATCAAACTCCCAGACACTATTCCTTCACCTACTCCTGATCCTTTACCTCAACCCTCAGATACATAATCCCTTACTACTAAGGCAACCATACTGCTATCACCTATTATCTCTATTCCTTCCCCAGTCACAGATTCACTTAATCGCTCTACCTCATCAACCTCCCTCCTTTCCCTTTTTGTTACCATACTTTACTATAACACCCTCTAATCTTTGACATCTAACACCTTCCCCTCCTCCCAGATGCTTCTCCTACTATTCAACAGCTATTGCTTTTAATCCTTGAACATTTTTCCTATACCTTCCCCAGTGATAGATTCCCTATAATTCTTTCAATCGCCCTAACTTCTTAAACTTCCCCTTTCTACTAATTTCTGCTCTAGTTCACTTGCTCCCCTTTCTTGTCCTACCATGTCCAACCATATCGACCCCTTCTTCGTCAGTGTCAGAAATGTTGACATTTTTGCCACCCAGCCAATCAAATTCGTTTTCCAGTCTAAATGCAGATATTCCAATCTCTACCACTTCCACAATACTTACCCCTCCCCCTCACTTTATTTGTCGCACCAGGCAACCTAAATATTCCACTCCACCCTCTCTTACTACATCCTCTCCTACACTTTCCTCTTCTTTTGTTCCTCACATATCTATCTCCTCTTCCTCCTCATAATAGAACATTTATGCCTCATCCTCTTCACCCAGCTCCCCTCTAGAAACCATTGAAGACTTCCAAAATTTCCTAAAGATGACCCAAGGAAACACCGCTTCCTCATCCACCCCCCAATCTCTCTGTTCCTACTCCTTCTACATTTAAAGTATTTGCAGATATTCATCCTCCTCCTCCCCAAGTTCCCTCCACCCCCTTCCTCCTACACCCTCCCAACATGCCCCACCCTCTCTACTGCTCCCACTTGAATACTCACGCGAATGCCCTCTATCACAACAGTGTCCTTCTCCAGACCCCTCCCCTCTTGGCATTCTTCCTGATACTTCACCACCTTCCCCAGTCTTCCTTTCTCATTCCCCGGATTCATCTCCTCCTACTTCTCCAACAGCCACCTCTGTTTTCCTTGAACAAAGTCCCAAATCTTCCCCAGTCACAAATACAATGCAGTTCACTCAATCACTCTATCCCCTTAACCTTTCCCCTTTTACTAATCCTGCTCTACTTCATTTACTTCCCATTTTTCCCTATAACACCCTATAATATTTGACATCTAACACTCCCCTTCACCCCAGATTCTTCTCCTACTTTTCCAACAGCCATTTCTGTTTTCCTTAAACATTGTTCCTATACCTTCCCCAGTAACAAATACATTGTAATTCACTCAATTGCCCTACCTGCTTAACCCTCCCCTTTCAACTAATCTCTGCTTTAGTTCACTTACTCCTCTCTTTTCCCTTTTCACTACCATACCATCCTATAATGCTCTCTAATCTTTGACATCTAACACATTTTGTCCTAATCTTTAACTCCTCTTTACCCATTCCGACACAATACTTTACCTTAGTGCTATATGACCTTGGATGTCTAGCACATTTATTTGTTTCAAACATTACACATTAAACATTTAGAAAGGCTTTAAGGTGGGCAGCCAAAATTATAAAATGCATAGTAGAAAAAAATATACTCCATACTATATTTACTAGTGAGAAAACACTTTAGAATCTTCTTGGGGCCAGATTCTCTAACATGAGATCGTGACACATTTACTAGCGGTCATTTACCATTGCGTTTACCAGAAATGGCAAAGTGGGATTCACAAAGAGCTGGTAATTTGCAATGACTAAGTTACATTCATAAATTGACTAATTCTAATGGTAACCAACAGAAGGCTCTAGTAAAGCAATTCCACCAATAAGCCAGCACCATACATAATATTTTAGGTTCCTTCGGTCAATCACGTAACATGCAAGCAGAACTAGACACGGTGAGATTTATAAAATCAGTGTTGCAGCTAAAATACTATTTGAGCATATGTAGAAAAAAATACTATATTTATTTATTTTTATTCAAGAACACATTTTTGGACAAATAGTTCTGGTAAACAAAATATGTTTCACAATTTGCTAAAGGATAAAGTATTTTATTTAAACTTTGTAACAAATCTATAAAGGAAAAGTAAGTATATATGTAAGACCAATTTAGTGTTAGAGAAATAACAAAGAAAAGCAATAAGAATGACAGACTTTACCTTTATGAGCCTAGAAATTCTTGTTTTACTTAATGTCTTCTTTACAAATAAGCAAAATTGTGAGTGTTTCTTTTTGTATGCTTCTACCAGCAGACACATCCATCAGATTAACTGCTATTCATTAACATATTTTGGTAAACTCATTTACTGATAGTTTTTGCTCCGGATGGTAACTTTGATTAGCATACACAAAGGAATATCATGTTATTCTCCTTTTTGTTGTTGCATTTAGGATTTAGTTTTCAAGTTGTTTCAATAATTTTTCTTTTAATTCTGAAGATTTCTTTTTTTTCTTTTTTCAGATTCTCTTTTCTCATCGGCAGATATTCAAGTCATCAAATTAAAGCATCCTAGAACTCTTAATTCAGCTATGTTTATTTATGATAAAAAAGGAAAGCAATTGTTCGAATTAGTGGCATTTGATGAAGAGTATAGGTAAGTCCAAACTTTTGCTACTGCAAATTACTTTTTATTTTGCTATCAACAGCAGTGCCTCTCTTTGTGTTACTCTGTACAGTATCATGTGTGATAAGTTTGACCAGTTTTTCCTCTGGGGTGAGTTTAACTAGCTTTAGAAAAACTCAGATATTTTTGGTTTTAACAATTTGTACACTCAATAGTTAGATTTGTTCTTTATGAAATATAGAATTGTTGGTATAGAAATGTACAAATATTAGTTTCCTACAAAGGGTTATAAAAAGAATTTAGTAATCTGTTTTTCATAACGTTTTTCACTCTCTTGCTAAATATACATTAAAGCAGTTGCAGACTTGACTTTTGGGCCACACATTTCATGTAAAAAAGTAAGACTCGGTAATGAAATATTATGTAATTAAACCTGTTATTGCTAAAACCTGTCAAATTTTGGTCAAACTAACCCCCCAAAAATTACAAAATTGGAATGAGTTTGACCATTACTTTTTAATGGCATATTTTTTTTTTAATTTTCAGTCTCATAAGAGTGAGGTTCCACTTTTAGTGGTCAACTCTCCCCAATCAGTGCTAGCAATAATTTACTAGTATTTGCTATACTGATATCTGATTGGAAAATTATGTTGACTAGAGGATTGAAAGACAAAGGAAATTATATGTAATGATATTCATAGATGAGGTATATAAAGTTGGCAAGACATTGTAATACACATATTAATATTGATTTTGAACTTGTAGAGGGAACCTTCATACTGTCATCACGTGTCACATCTTATGGTACTGTTTTGCTTGTTGCTGTCAAATGCTTGAAATATTATTGCTAATTTAAACATTCTCACTCTCAGTTTAGCCTGATCCACTGTTTGGAGTTGGTATTACTATATGACCACAACCTTCTTGCATTCATTTTAGTGGAATTAGTGTTGATAAGGCTAATTAGCCATCCAACTCTGCCAGTATGGCAATCAGTATGTCCAAAATTCTTGTACACTTATTGTTTTTGCTTATTTTGTTGAGTTACCAAAATAAATGAGAAGTATGAGTCAACTATACAAACCTTTTTTATAGCATTATGTTTTAGACGTATAGAAGTATACATCTGTCCTGGTTGCTACTTGTCAGAACTTAACATTTTGGCCATTGAAGGGACTATAGTGGAAAAAATAGATAAAGGTGTATAGGTACCATAGATAAAAGGGTTTATTATGTATTTTTGTTTTAAGTTTTTGCACAGAAAGTCTAGAAGATAGAGGAAATGTTTTGGTCCAAATGAAACATATTCCAACTCATTCTTATATTTTCATTAATAACTAATGAACAGTTAAAATATATAAAATATATTTCAGATAGTATATCAATACTACTTGCCATCATAGGTTACATTTCTCTACTAATTATCATTAGCATATGAATCAATATTCTCTGCTTCCAATTTCTAAACTTTGATGTCCATCTGCTATCTGGCAAAATTAATGTAACAAGCAACTCCTCATTTTGCAGTAGTCTATACATGAAAAGCCAGCACTGTATGCTGCAAGTCTCTCCCTTTGAGGCACAGTTGTGGAGCTCACTATGCTCAAGAGCTCTGGAATGGCAGTACTGTTGAGACTGTCAGTCTGGTGGTGGAGCCTTCTTTGTTCCAACCAAAGTTGGCAATATTTTGAATTTCTTATAATGGGTCATTTTGTTACTCTGCCTTTCACAGTAACATCTGAGTTCAGAGGTACTGTAGGTTGATATCAGTCAGTGGCAGGGGCTTTTTAGGCTGCGATAGAATTGAGCATGTGTATCACTCACTGGTGTATGATTCTTTCATCCCTAAAGCATCAAGAATATACTGGCATCAGTTGTTACTTTAACCCATTGGACTCAGATGACATTGTGGTTACATCACAGAAAAACTCGAGCTGAGGGGCGGGTGACATGAACGTGCCGTCAACAGGGCGAACTGGCCGCAGCCCAGGTGACATGAACTATCATCATGAGCGGAGACCAGGGTGATGGAAAAGACTTGTCACGAGTACACAAACCTCTTGGAGTGTGATTTGACTCATTTGGTGCTTAGAAGGGGGCTTTAGCATTATTCCCATGTTTAAACAAATGTGGAATGTAA